TGTTTTAATTTTTGAAGAAATAGAAGAAATCTCGGGAGTCCTTAGTGGTTTATTTTTTGAAGATGTCGAAAAAAATCTCGAGGGTCCCTAGTATTTTAATTTTTGAAGTAGTTGAAAGAATCTCGGGGGTCTCTGTTTTATTTTTTGAAAATGTTGAAAAAATCTCGAAGGTCTCTAGTGTTTTAATCTTTGAAGAAGTTGAAAGGATCTCGGGGGTCTCTAGTGTTTTATTTTTTGAAGAAGCCGAAAAATCTCGAGGGTCCGTAGTGTTTTAATTTTTGAAAAAGTTGAAAGAATCTCGGGGGTCTCTGTGCTTTATTTTTTGAAGATGTTGAAAAAAATCTCGAAGGTCCCTAGTGTTTTAATTTTTGAAGAAGTTGAAAGAATCTCGGTGGTTCCTAGTGTTTTAATTTTTGAAGATGTTGAAAGAATCTCGGGGGTTTCTAGTGTTTTAATTTTCGAAAATGTTGAAATAATCTCGGGGATCAATAGTGGTTTTTTTTTAAACTATTGAAAAAATCTCGGGGGTCGCTAGTATTCTATTTTTTGAAGATGTTGAAATAATCTCGGAGATCAATAGTGTTTTAATTTTTGAAGAAATAGAAGAAATCTCGGGGGTCCTTAGTGGTTTACTTTTTGAAAATGTTGAAAGAATCTCGAGGGTTCCAAGTGTTTTAATTTTTAAAGAAGTCGAAAAATCTCGGGGGTCCCTGGTGTTTTAATTTTTGAAAATGTTGAAATAATCTCGGGGATCAATAGTGTTTTAATTTTTGAAGAAATAGAAGAAATGTCGGGAGTCCTTAGTGGTTTATTTTTTGAAGATGTTGAAAGAATCTCGGGGGTCTCTAGTGTTTTAATTTTTGAAGAAGTTGAAAGAACCTCGGGGGTCTCTGTTTTATTTTTTGAAAATGTTGAAAAAATCTCGAAGGTCTCTAGTGTTTTCATTTTTGAAGAAGTTGAAAGAATTTCGAGGGTTCCAAGTGTTTTAATTTTTAAAGAAGTCGAAAAATCTCGAGGGTCCGTAGTGTTTTAATTTTTGAAGAAGTTGAACGAATCTCGGGGATCTTTGTGTTTTATTTTTTGAAGATGTTGAAAAAAATCTCAGGGGTCTCTGTGTTTTATTTTTTTAAGATGTTGAAAAAAATCTCGAAGGTCCCTAGTGTTTTAATTTTTGAAGGAGTTGAAAGAATCTCGGGGGTCTCTAGTGTTTTATTTTTTGAAGAAGCCGAAAAATCTCGAGGGTCCGTAGTGTTTTAATTTTTGAAGAAGTTGAAAGAATCTCGGGGGTCTCTGTTTTATTTTTTGAAAATGTTAAAAAAATCTCGAAGGTCTCTAGTGTTTTAATTTTTGAAGAAGTTGAAAGAATCTCGGGGGTCTCGAGTGTTTTATTTTTTGAAAAAGCCGAAAAATCTCGAGGGTCCGTAGTGTTTTAATTTTTGAAGAAGTTGAAAGAATCTCGGGGGTCTCTGTGTTTTATTTTTTGAAGATGTTGAAAAAAATCTCGGGTGTCTCTGTGTTTTATTTTTTGAAGATGTTGAAAAAATCTCGGGAGTCCCTAGTGTTTTATTTTTTGAAGATGTTGAAATAGTCTCGGGGATCAATAGTGTTCCAATTTTTGAAAAAGTCAAACAAATCTCGTGGGCCCATAGTGTTTTAATTTTTGAAAAAATCGAAAAATCGGGGGGTTTCCTAGTGGTTTATGTTTTGAAGATGTTGAAAGAATCTCGGGGGTCTCTGTGTTTTATTTTTTGAAAATGTTGAAAAGATCTCGGGGGTCCCTGGTGTTTTAATTTTTGAAGAAGTTGAAAGAATCTCGGGAGTCCCTAATGTTTTATTTTTTGAAGAAGTTGAAATAACTTCGGAGATCAATAGTGTTTTAATTTTTGAAGAAATAGAAGAAATCTCGGGGGTCCTTAGTGGTTTGCTTTTTGAAGATGTTGAAAGAATTTCGGGGGTTCCTAGTGTTTTAATTTTGGAAGATGTTGAAAGATCTCGGGGGTCTCTAGTGTTTTATTTCTTGAAGATCTTGAAATAATCTCGGGGATCCCTAGTGTTTTAATTTTTGAATGAATCGAAAAATCTCGAAGGTCCCTAGTGGTTTATTATTTGAAGATGTTGAAAGAATCCCGGTGGTCCCTAGTGTTTTAATTTTTGAAGAAATATAAGAAACCTCGGGGGTTCTTAGTGGTTTACTTTTTGAAAATGTTGAAAGAATCTCGAGGGTTCCAAGTGTTTTAATTTTTAAAGAAGTCGAAATATCTCGGGGGTCCCTGGTGTTTTAATTTTTGAAAATGTTGAAATAATCTTGGGAATAAATAGTGTTTTAATTTTTGAAAAAATAGAAGAAATGTCGGGAGTCCTTAGTGGTTTATTTTTTGAAGATGTTGAAAGAATCTCGGGGGTCTCTAGTGTTTTAATTTTTGAAGAAATTGAAAGAACCTCGGGGGTCTCTGTTTTATTTTTTGAAAATGTTGAAAAAATCTCGAAGGTCTCTAGTGTTTTCATTTTTGAAGAAGTTGAAAGAATCTCGGGGGTCTCTACTGTTTTATTTTTTGAAGAAGCCGAAAAATCTGGAGGGTCCGTAGTGTTTTAATTTTTGAAGAAATTGAAAGAACCTCGGGGGTCTCTGTTTTATTTTTTGAAAATGTTGAAAAAATCTCGAAGGTCTCTAGTGTTTTAATTTTTGAAGAAGTTGAAAGAATCTCGGGGGTCTCTACTGTTTTATTTTTTGAAGAAGCCGAAAAATCTGGAGGGTCCGTAGTGTTTTAATTTTTGAAGAAGTTGAAAGAATCTCGGGGGTCTCTGTGTTTTATTTTTTGAAGATGTTGAAAAAAATCGCAGGTGTCTCTGTGTTTTAATTTTTGAAGATGTTGAAAAAAATCTCGGGAGTCCCTAGTGTTTTATTTTTTGAAGATGTTGAAATAGTCTCGGGGATCAATAGTGTTCCAATTTTTGAAAAAGTCAAACAAATCTCGTGGGCCCATAGTGTTTTAATTTTTGAAAAAATCGAAAAATCGGGGGGTTTCCTAGTGGTTTATGTTTTGAAGATGTTGAAAGAATCTCGGGGGTCTCTGTGTTTTATTTTTTGAAAATGTTGAAAAGATCTCGGGGGTCCCTGGTGTTTTAATTTTTGAAGAAGTTGAAAGAATCTCGGGAGTCCCTAATGTTTTATTTTTTGAAGATGTTGAAAAAAATCGCAGGTGTCTCTGTGTTTTAATTTTTGAAGATGTTGAAAAAAATCTCGGGAGTCCCTAGTGTTTTATTTTTTGAAGATGTTGAAATAGTCTCGGGGATCAATAGTGTTCCAATTTTTGAAAAAGTCAAAGAAATCTCGGGGGTCCCTAGTGTTTTAATTTTTGAAAAAATCGAAAAATCTGGGGGTTTCCTAGTGGTTTATGTTTTGAAGATGTTGAAAGAATCTCGGGGGTCCCTAGTGGTTTATTTTTTGAAGATGCTACTAAGTGCTAGCCCCGCCCGCCCGCCCTCTATTTTCTCAGAAAGTACGGCGTTTGCCAAAATCAGTCTTATCTGAACAAGTGCTAGCCCCGCCCACCCGCCCTCTATTTTCTCCAAGGGTATATCATTTGCCAAAATAAGACTTATGTTAACAAGTACTAGCCTCACCCACCGGCCCTTTATTTTCTCAGAGAGTAGTACTTGCTAGTATTTGCCTCGATAAGTCTTATTTTGGCAAATGACATATCCTCTGAGAAAATAGGGGCGGGAGGGCGGGCTTAGCACCTGCTCAGATAAGACTGATTTTGGCAGACGTCGTACCCTCTGAGAAAATAGAGGGCGGGTGGGTGGGGCTAGCACTTGTTCAGATAAGACTGATTTTGGCAGACGCCATATCCTCTGAGAAAGTAGAGGGTGGGTGGGCGGTACTAGTACTTGCTAAGATAAGACAGATTTTGTCAGATGCCAAAAATACAAAATTCTAAAATTCCTGTTTTGAGTTTGTGGTTTCTCAGAATAATGCATTTGTGTTAATGCAAAATTGAAGCCTCGGTAGCCGAACAACCGTTAACTATCCCCTGTTTTCTTTTGAATTTCGATGTGTATAATTGTTGTGAGTGACGCCTTATTTAACACTGATTATACAATGTGGTGTCCCGATTTGAATCAAAATTTGGTGCACCGAACTTCGATTAAGAGAGGAATGTGAAGATGTTCCCCACGTGTTAATTTTTTTGTCGTGCAGAAGAAGTTGGGGCATATTTATGGTATTTTGTGTCTAAAATTTATGAATTGTCATCTTCGAGTTATTAGTTATTACTTCAAGACTGGGTAGAGATTAATTGTTCAATTTATCGTAGATTTGTTTTTGATTTGTCGGAGTGTCATTGTAAGATCTGGACTATCCAAATGGACGACAATAAAAAATTACCTCTTAAATTATTTAACTCGAACACCGCTGCCCATGATGGGTCCATGACAAAAATTTATCGCTTCCCCACCCAAACCCCCCGTCTTGTTACGTCTCAACTACCGCAGTAAATTAGGGTCACCTCTGAAACAGTGCCGACCAGATGAGCTAATATACGCAACCCCGACCGGTCAGTGTCTTTGTTCGGCGTCAAGGAAGCCAACAAAACCAAAAAAGAAATCTGTTTTAGTGGAGGTCCACCATGTCGAGTACCATTTCGTGTCGTCGAAGTAATGGGAGGCATGCAGATTATGTTAATTTCCTTCTTGAGGACGATTCTTAAGGAATCTTACAAATTACTAACATTCTGAAGAGGTTATTTTGATTACGTGACTCTCAGAAAAGAGAGTGAGTGCATTTATTGTGGTTTCGATTCTTTGTCTTAAACGTTGTATTAAATATTCAACTATCGCGTGTTGATCAAAGTGAAACGAAGCAACCTCGTCGTTTTACCCTATCCTCTTTAATCTTCTCACTTTTGGAAATCACCAATTATCTTTTATCGCCCAAAAGCTCCACAGCACCGCCAAAAAACGTGCGAACGCGCCAACAAAAACGCTCCAAATCTCCTTACCTGCAATATCATCATCACAATCTTCTTCAGGACGCACGGTGATGCTCCCTGAGGGCATCTTCACAATTACAGTCTACCGTCTTTTATTACACAGCGGCCACTTTTTCCATACAATTTTTTCAACTTGATTACATTTTGCTTCTGCTTCTTAATGAGTTCTTAGCGCGCATTGTCTTCGGAATACCACCACACCACAAGAATCACCATCGAAACAACTCCCATTAGATAATATAACGCGTTATAAAAATGTCCAGTCACGAAATATGTGCGCTTAAATCCCTTTCTGTTGTTGCCTTAATGATGTCCGACTCGGTAATCTTCTAATCTATGCCTTATTAGCGGCGGCGACATTTGTCAACAAGATCCTAATTTAGACAAGTGCACGTCCGCGTTGAATAAATTAAACCTGCAAAGCTGCACACTGATAAAGGAAACGAGGTAGCATTGGCCTTAATGTGCGCTTATGGCGAGGATGAGGAAAAGCATGAAATGTGCCTGAGATTTTTCGAAAGTTGCTTGTTTATGGGCGACATTCGCGAAAAAACGTGAGCTTGGAGCGAATTAGCGGGTCGGAGGTACAAGTGAAGGATTGGAATAATGAATTAAGATAACGCTGTTGTAGCTCTTAGAGTCGTGAGATTTCCTGAAACCGTGAAACACGCCAGATTTTTGTTAACCTTTGAAGCTCTAAAAGTGATGCTTTCAGAAAAGTTATAAAACATATTTTTGCCTTTTTTTTTCTTAACATACTTAACCGTCTTTTCACAACAAGTAACTTGGAACATACTTATTTCTATACAAGAAATTAAAAATACGTTTTAAGTTTCTTGTTGTGAAAAGAAGTCTACACATCTTAAGAAAAAAAAGGACGAAATATAAGCCCCACCCACCCACCCTGTCTCAATTCTGATGATTTTTTTTATTCGTCGTGAATCAAGGAGGCGAAGCTTAACTGCAAAATACTTATTTCTTTACAAGAAATTAAAAACATGTTTTTGAGTATATTGTTGTTCAAAAAATTCTATGAACATTAAGAAAACAGGTAAAATATAAACCCCGCCCACCCACCCCATCACAATTGTGATGATTTTTTTATTCTTACAATCTTAAAACACATTTAAAAATGGTATATTTTTGTAAGAAAATATGGATTTTGCAATTAGGCTCCGCCCCTAGATCTGCCAACGAATGAAAACTTCATTACTATTTAGATCAGGGCAGGTATGGGTGGGGCGTAATCTTTAGTTTTCATTTTTTCTTAAAATACATATGTAGTAGTCTTTGAATAACAGTTTACCCAAAAACATGTCTTATATGGTAATTTCTTGTAGAGAAATAATAAGAATTGTGCATTTAAATTCTAAAAAAAAAACTAAACGATTAAAAAAAAGTCATCACAATCGAGATAGGGTGGGTGGGTGGGGCTTATATTTCGTCCTTTGTTTTCTTAATATACACAGCCATCTTTTCATAACAAGTAACCTGGAACATGGTTAAAATGGTACACTTTTGTCGGGAAAATTTTATGGCCCGATATTTCCTTTACAAATTTTCCATTTTAAACATGTTTTAAGTTTCTTGTTGTGAAAAGAAGTCTACACATATTAAGAAAAACAAAGGACGAAATATAAGCCCCGCCCACCCACCCTGTCTCAATTGTGATGATTTTTTTTTTCGTCGTGAATCAAGGAGGCGGAGCTTAACTGCAAAATACTTATTTCTATACAAGAAATTAAAAACATGTTTTAAGTTTCTTGTTGTGAAAAGAAGTCTACACATATTAAGAAAAACAGGTAAAATATAAACAGCGCCCACCCACCCCATCACAATTGTGATGATTTTTTTATTCTTAGAAACTTAAAACACATTTAAAAATGGTATATTTTTGTAAGGAAATATGGATTTTGCAATTAGGCTCCGCCCCTAGATCTGCCAACGAATGAAAACTTCATTACTATTTAGATCAGGGCAGGTATGGGTGGGGCTTATTCTTTAGTTTTCATTTTTTCTTAAAATACATATGTAGTAGTCTCTGAATAACAGTATGCCCAAAAACATGTCTTATATGGTCATTTCTTGCAGAGAAATAATAAGAATTGTGCATTTAAATTCTAAAAAAAAAACTAAACGATTAAAAAAAATCATCACAATCGAGATAGGGTGGGTGGGTGGGGCTTATATTTCGTCCTTTGTTTTCTTAATATACACAGCCATCTTTTCATAACAAGTAACCTGGAACATGGTTAGAATGGTACACTTTTGCAGGGAAAATTTTATGGGCCGATATTTCCTTTACAAATTTTCCATTTTAAACATGTTTTAAGTTTCATTTTGCGAAAAGAAGTCTACACATATTAAGAAAAAAAGGACGAAATATAAGCCCCACCCACCCACCCTGTCTCATTTGTGATGATTTTTTTATTCGTCGTGGATCAAGGAGGCGGAGCTTAACTGCAAAATACTTATTTCTATACAAGAAATTAAAAACATGTTTTAAGTTTCTTGTTGTGAAAAGAAGTCTACACATATTAAGAAAAAAAAGGACGAAATATAAGCCCCACCCACCCACCCTGTCTCATTTGTGATGATTTTTTTATTCGTCGTGGATCAAGGAGGCGGAGCTTAACTGCAAAATACTTATTTCTATACAAGAAATTAAAAACATGTTTTAAGTTTCTTGTTGTGAAAAGAAGTCTACACATATTAAGAAAAAAAAGGACGAAATATAAGCCCCGCCCACCCACCCTGTCTCAATTGTGCTGATTTTTTTTATTCGTCGTGGATCAAGGAGGTAGAGCTTAACTGCAAAATACTTATTTCTATACAAGAAATTAAAAACATGTTTTTCAGTATCGTGTTGTTCGAAAAATTCTATGTACATTAAGAAAAAAAGGTGAAATATAAACCCCGCCCACCCCCCCATCTCGGTTGTGATGATTTTTTATTCTTAGAAACGTAAAACACATTTAAAAATGGTATATTTTTGTAAGGAAATATGGATTTTGCAATTAGGCTCCGCCCCTAGATCTGCCAACGAATGAAAACTTCATTACTATTTAGATCAGGGTAGGTATGGGTGGGGCTTAATCTTTAGTTTTCATTTTTTCTTAAAATACATATGTAGTAGTCTTTGAATAACAGTATACCCAAAAACATGTCTTATATGGTCATTTCTTGCAGAAAAATAATAAGAATTGTGCATTTAAATTCTAAAAAAAAAACTAAACGATTAAAAAAAAATCATCACAATCGAGATAGGGTGGGTGGGTGGGGCTTATATTTCGTCCTTTGTTTTCTTAATATACACAGCCATCTTTTCATAACAAGTAACCTGGAACATGGTTAAAATGGTACACTTTTGTCGGGAAAATTTTATGGGCCGATATTTCCTTTACAAATTTTCCATTTTAAACATGTTTTAAGTTTCATTTTGTGAAAAGAAGTCTACACATATTAAGAAAAAATGGACGAAATATAAGCCCCACCCACCCACCCTGTCTGAATTGTGATGATTTTTTTTATTCGTCGTGAATCAAGGAGGCGGAGCTTAACTGCAAAATACTTATTTCTATACAAGAAATTAAAAATATGTTTTAAGTTTCTTGTTGTAAAAAAAAGTCTACACATATTAAGAAAAAAAAGGACGAAATATAAGCCCCGCCCCCCACCCTGTCTCAATTGTGCTGATTTTTTTATTCGTCGTGGATCAAGGAGGCGGAGCTTAACTGCAAAATACTTATTTCTTTACAAGAAATTAAAAACATGTTTTTCAGTATCGTGTTGTTCGAAAAATTCTATGGACATTAAGAAAAAAAGGTGAAATATAAACCCCGCCCACCCCCCCATCTCGATTGTGATGATTTTTTTATTCTTAGAAACGTAAAACACATTTAAAAATGGTATATTTTTGTAAGAAAATATGGATTTTGCAATTAGGCTCCGCCCCTAGATCTGCCAACGAATGAAAACTTCATTACTATTTAGATCAGGGCAGGTATGGGTGGGGCTTAATCTTTGGTTTTCATTTTTTCTTAAAATACATACATATTTGAATAACCCTATACTCAAAAACATGTCTTACATGGTAAATTCTTGAAGAGAAATAATAAGTAATTGTGCATTTAAATTCTAAAAAAAAAAACTAAACGATTAAAAAAAAGTCACCACAATCGAGATAGGGTGGGTGGGCGGGGCTTATATTTCGTTCTTTGTTTTCTTAATATACATAGCCATCTTTTCATAACAAGAAACTTAAAACATGTTTAAAATGGTAAATTCTTGTAGAGATATGCAATTAAGCCCCGCCCCTCGGTTTGACAACGAATGAAAAATTTATCACAATTGAGAGTTGAGACCGGGGCCAGTATGGGTGGGGCCTAATCTTTGGCTTCAATTTCTTTCTTAATATACATAGTATTCTTTGAACAACACGACACTCAAAAACATGTTTTTAATTTCTCGTTGAGAAATAAGGATTTTGCAGTTAAGCTCCGCCCCCTTGCGTCACGATGAATAAAAAAATCATCACAATTGAGACAGGGTGGGTGGGCGGGGTTCTATATTTTCCTTTTTTTTCTTAATATGTGTAGACTTATTTAAGTCCCATTTTAGGTTTTAATCATTTGATGGTTAATAAAATTTCTTGTGTATGGAATTTTTCAAAAATACTCTCAAGAGAAAATCTAGATATTTAGTCAAAATTTTGGAAAAAAATACCTTAAACTGTCATAAAAATAACGTTGGCTCCGTATGGTCCAAGTTAGCTTCCGCTCAGATTAACCATTAAGAAAAAAAATGTCTCGGTTTCTTCACTCTCTTCATCAGCATTTTAAAATTATACTTTTTTGAAAATTTCCAAAATTATGTTTCTCGACATTATTAAATATGACAAATAAGATAAAATGGACTGAAAACTTATAAATTTTCAAAGACAAAGATAAAGTAAGAGAAAAATGGAAATAAAATAAAATCCAGGCTTGGTGAAAAATGTATCCGTTTGTTTAGACTTAGAAATTCCGTTAAAACTGCATCATCACCACTTTTATCAAACCCTCGCCCAACACATCCGCCAAACCCCGCTTTCAGCAAGATCGCAGCTTTTCCGCATGACTCAACCGCTTCCGTCTCGGCGAGCAGATGCTACCTACGTTTCGACTTTCTCGTAATCCGCACATCATCAGTACACAGCACTCGCACCACCGACCCCAACCCCAACAACCTCTTCCAAACCACCGCGACTTCCAGATCTATCACCAAGTGTCTGCAAAAGCTCGTCGAACGCACCACACTCACCGGTGCACTAATGCACTCTGCAGCAAGCTGCAAGTGTTCCGAAGCTGTACTGTGGTAGGGCGACCGTGAAATGCACTCCACAATGCAGGAGAGAGGTGAAGATTGTTCACTAGATAAAACTAATCGGAATTATCTAGTTTAGATGACGTCGGAGATAACTGGACGAAACCGTATGAGAAAAAATGGGTCTGATGAGTCGGAGGGCTCGTGTGGGTTTAATTAAAAATGGAGGGATTTTGGGGTTGATTGGCGGGATTTAAATAGAAATGAACACCGGAAGCAGGTGAAAAATTGTACTTTGGTTGTTATCGGGTTTGTGTTGGTTTGTTTTTGTTGTTGTGTCTGGCGGTGGCTATTGTGAGGAATGGTGTTGTTGTGGTGCGGTGAGAGGTGATCTGAGGAAATGTTTGTTTTGACGGCGGTGTTTGAAGTGTGACGCTGGGTTAGAGGAAAAAGAATGGGTTCAAATGGAAATACTATACGATGAGAATAATTTCTGAAGTGAGTGGAGGATGATATTTGTTGATTGTATCAATACAAATATGACAACATTAAAATGAAAATTAATATCATCAGGATCTTTCGTTAAATTAAACCAATTTTAACCACTTTTTTGGAAAGTTTTCGGAAATTTTGAATGCATTTTGCGCCTTTATTAGACCAGATACAGCGGCGGCGCTTTGAGAATCGTAACTAGCGGAAGATTATCAACAATTTGGCACCAATTTTAGGACGATTAAACCAATTTTAACCACTTTTTCGGAAAATTTTTGGAAATTTTGAATGCATTTTGCGCCTTTATTATCCCATATACCGCGGCGGCGCTTTCAGAATCGTAACTAGCGGAAGATTATCTACAATTTGACACCAATTTTCGATCGATTAAACCAATTTTAACCACTTTTTTGGAAAATTTTTGGAAATTTTGAATGCATTTTGCGCGTTTATTAGACCAGATACCGCAGCGGCTCTTTCAGAATCGTAAATAGCGGAAGATTATCTACAATTTGACACCAATTTTCGGACGATTAATCAAATTTTAACCACTTTTTTGGAAAATTTTTGGACATTTTGAATTCATTTTGCGCATTTATTAGACCAGATACCGCAGCGGCGCTTTCAGAATCGTAAATAGCGGAAGATTATCTACAATTTGACACCAATTTTCGGTCGATTAAACCAATTTTAACCACTTTTTTGGAAAATTTTTGGAAATTTTGAATCCCTTTTGCGCGTTTATTAGACCAGATACTGCGGCGGCGCTTTCAGAATCGTAACTAGCGGAAGATTATCTACAGTTTGACACCAATTTTCAGTCGATTAAACCAAATTTAACCACCTTTTTGGAACATTTTTGAAAATTTTGAATGCATTTTGCGCCTTTATTAGACCAGATACCGCAGCGACGCTTTCAGAATCGTAACTAGCCCAAGATTATCTACAATTTGACACCAATTTTTGGTCGAGTATACCAATTTTAACCACTTTTTTGGAAAATTTTTGGAAATTTTGAATGCCTTTTGCGCCTTTATTAGACCAAATACCGCAGCGACGCTTTCAGAATCGTAACTAGCCCAAGATTATCCACAATTTGACACCAATTTTTGGTCGATTAAACCAATTTTAACCACTTTTTTGGAAAATTTTTGGAAATTTTGAATGCCTTTTGCGTCTTTATTAGACTAAATACCGTGGCGGCGCTTTGAGAATCGTAACTAGCGGAAGATTATCTACAATCTGACACCAATTTTCGGTCGATTAGATCAATTTTAACCACTTTTTTGGAACATTTTTGGAAATTTTGACTGCATTTTGCGTCTTTATTAGACCAGATACCGCGGCGGCGCTTTCAGAATCGTAACTAGCGGAAGATTATCTTCAATTTGACACCAATTTTCGGTCGATTACACCAATTTTAACCACTTTTTTTGGAAAATTTTTGGAAACTTTGAATTCATTTTGCGCCTTTATAAATAAATAATAAATAAATAGTGCTTTATTACGCCGAAAGATATAAAGGCATTACATAAAGTACATAACAAAATATTAACATAACAATTCATATTAACATAATAGTAACAATTTGCGACATTCTTTCTTGAAGGCGTTGAGGGAGATACCAAAAAACTCTAAAGTGTTGCATTCGTTAGCAATCATCAAAACGCTATTTAGAGGCGAATGTAATGCATAATTCATTTTATGAACTGGTATAAAAAACAGCCTAGGCGTACGAACCTTACGGATTGACACATTAAGACCTACCAACGCTAGCAATATGGGGGCTTCAATTAAACCATTTAATAATTTAAAAAGAAAACATAGTTTGTGATACTTACGACGATTTTCTAGTGTATGTACTGACAGATAAGATGCAACAAGGTCTGTATCAGCTAACACAATACCATCACTACACAACTTATATTTGACATATTTTAAAAGTTTGACTTGGACAGCTTCAATTCGGCTTATGTGAGTGATATAAAACGGTGACCAGTTGACACAATTGAATTCCAATATCGATCGGACTAACGAATAGTATAATATCAGAATGGTTCTGATGTTACTGAAGTTCACCGTCCACCGCTTTAAACACCCCAAAAGTTTTCTACCTCTAGAAACAACATATTCGTAGTGACTGACGAAAGATAATTTAGTGTCTAAATAGATACCCAAATCCTTGGCATTGCTAACTATGTCTAGGGGCGTATTTTCTAGTAGGTACAATGGAACTGAGGGACGACTTTTGCGACTAAAGCACATTGCTTTGCATTTTTTAATGTTAAGAGACATATGATTGAGTTTACACCAATCGTTAAGACATATAAGATCATTTGTCAAAGTATTAATGTCATACATGGAATCAATCTTCTTATATAACTTCAAGTCATCTGCATACAGTAAGGAATTTGAGTTGAAATTCAAGCAGATATCGTTAATGAAGATATTAAATAAAAGTGGTCCTATAACCGAGCCTTGAGGAACTCCAGATGTTGATTCGTAGGTAGATGACTTGAACTTCATTAATTGTACAAAATGTAGACGATGACTGATATAAGATTGAATCCATGAAAGTAAAGGATCACGAACGCCGTAGAGTAGAAGTTTGTGTATCAAAATGGTGTGATCAACAGAATCAAACGCCTTGTGGAAGTCTGTGTAGATGCAGTGAATTTCCGAACCGTCCTCAATTGCATTAAAAATATCATTTATGTATACAAAGAGATTAGATTCAGTTGATCTACCAGAACAAAAACCATGTTGTGACACACTGATTACGTTTCTAAAAGAATCACTTATGAAACTGGACACAATGTTTTCAAAGATTTTCGATAGAACTGAAATTATACTAATCGGTCGATAGTTTTCAATGTCTTGCTTATTAGACCAGATACAGCGGCGGCGCTTTCAGAATCGTAACTAGCGGAAGATTATCTACAATTTGACACCAATTTTCGGTCGATTAAACAAATTTTAATCACTTTTTTGGAAAATTTTTGGAAATTTTGAATGCCTTTTGCGTCTTTATTGGACCAGATACCGTGGCGGCACTATGAGAATCGTAACCAGCGGAAGATTATCTACAATTTGACACCAATTTTCAGTCGATTAGATCAATTTTAACCACTTTTTTGGAAAATTTTTGGAACTTTTGACTGCATTTTGCGCCTTTATTGGACCAGATACCGTGGCGGCACTATGAGAATCGTAACCAGCGGAAGATTATCTACAATTGGACACCAATTTTCGGTCGATTAGATCAATTTTAACCACTTTTTTGGAAAATTTTTGGAATTTTGACTGCATTTTGCGCCTTTATTGGACCAGATACCGTGGCGGCACTATGAGAATCGTAACCAGCGGAAGATTATCTACAATTGGACACCAATTTTCGGTCGATTAGATCAATTTTAACCACTTTTTTGGAAAATTTTTGGAACTTTTGACTGCATTTTGCGCCTTTATTAGACCAGATACCGCGGCGGCGCTTTGAGAATCGTAACTAGCGGAAGATTATCTACAATTTGACACCAATTTTCGGTCGATTAAACCAATTTTAACAACTTTTTTGGAAAATTTTTGGAAATTTTGAATGCATTTTGCGCGTTTATTAGACCAGATACCGCGGCGGCGCTTTCAGAATCGTAACTAGCGGAAGATTATCTACAATTTGACACCAATTTTCGGTCGATTAAACCAATTTCAACCACTTTTTAGGAAAATTTTTGAAAATTTTGAATGCATTTTGCGCCTTTATTAGACCAGATACCGCGGCGGCGCTTTCAGAATCGTAACTAGCGGAAGATTATCTACAATTTGACACCAATTTTTGGTCGATTAAACCAATTTTGACCACTTTTTTGGAAAATTATTGGAAATTTTGAATGCCTTTTGCGTCTTTATTAGACCAGATACCGTGGCGGCGCTTTGAGAATCGTAACTAGCAGAAGATTATCTACAATTTGACACCAATTTTTGGTCGATTAAACCAATTTTAACCACTTTTTTGGAAAATTATTGGAAATTTTGAATGCCTTTTGCGTCTTTATTAGACCAGATACCGTGGCGGCGCTTTGAGAATCGTAACCAGCGGAAGATTATCTACAATTTGACACCAATTTTCGGTCGATTAAACCAATTTTAACCACTTTTTTGGAAAATTCTTGGAAATTTTGAATGCCTTTTGCGTCTTTATTAGACCAGATACCGTGGCGGCGCTTTGAGAATCGTAACCAGCGGAAGATTATCTACAATTTGACACCAATTTTCGGTCGATTAGATCAATTTTAACCACTTTTTTGGAAAATTTTTGGAAATTTTGACTGCATTTTGCGCCTTTATTAGACCAGATACCGCGGCGGCGCTTTGAGAATCGTAACTAGCGGCAGATTACCTACAATTCGACACCAATTTTCGGTCGATTAAACCAATTTTAATCGCTTTTTTGGAAAATTCTTGGAAATTTTGAATGCCTTTTGCGTCTTTATTGGACCAGATACCGTGGCGGCGCTTTGAGAGTCGTAAGTAGCGGAAGATTATCTACAATATGACACCAATTTTCGGTC